AATAGTTTGGGGAACAAAGGGATCTCAAAGCTCAGCCAGTTTTACTCCCTCCACCTCTATACCTTCCCCTATCCCGGGGTATTCCAAGTGTGCAGCCTGGCCTCTGACACAGGGAAGAGTTTCTTCCCAAAATCCAACTCAAATTTTCCCTTTTTTTCTCTATAAACCCCTCATCCCTTGTCCTAATCCCTCTGTGCCCTTGGGATTTCACTGCTTTTGACTGAGTTTCACTGCCACACTTCACCCAACTGTGGGAATCCCAGATTCAAATGAGAAACGTCAGTGCTAAAACCAAGCTCTCAATTAATCTGAGAGGGATCAGCAAGACACAGAAAGCCCCTGAAATGCTCAATCGGTGTGAATGCAAACCTGACAGTCCTTAAACCAAGCTTAAAACCCCAAAAGCTGCTCCAGGAAATGCCTAAACACGCACTCAAACGTGACCTAACTGAGCGAGCATTTCCTTAAACCCAGAGGAGCTTAATTAGAACAAATGAACCTCATTAATGACCCCATTCCTGACCCTCCTGATGGAAGAACATCCCAGGGTACAGAACGGGCACGAGCTGAAGGATTTCAGTGTTCAGAAATGCCCCAGGGGGGATCAGGGACTGGAATCAGCACTCACTACTGCTCCTTGAGCTTCTCGTACTGCTCCAGGTCGGGTTTGATCTGCCGGGTCAGCCGCTGGTACTGGCGCAGCTGCGCCGCTGCGTAATCTGGGAATGGGATTGGGGTCAGGATTGGGGTCAGGAATGGGAACGGGATTGGGGTCAGGAATGGGGTCAGGAATGGGAACGGGATTGGGGTCAGGAATGGGGGCAGGATTGGGAATGGGAACGGGATTTGGAGTCAGGATGGGGGCAGGAACGGGGGCAGGATTGGGCTGGGAATGGGATTGGGGTCAGGAATGGGGATGGGAACGGGATTGGGGTCAGGATTGGGGGCAGGAATGGGAATGGGATTGGGGTCAGGAATAGGGTGAGGATTGGGGACGGGATTGGGGACGGGATTGGGAACGGGAATGGGGGCAGGAACGGGGTCAGGAATGGGAATGGGATTGGGGTCAGGAATGGGGGCAGGAATGGGAATGGGATTGGGGGCAGGAATGGGGGCAGGAATGGGGCAGGAATGGGAATGGGAACGGGAATGGGGTCAGGATTGGGGACGGGATTGGGAATGGGATTGGGGTCAGGAATGGGAACAGGACTGGGGTCAGGATGGGGGGCAGGACTAGGGTCAGGATCAGGATCAGCATTGGGGTATGGATCAGGGTGAGCACTGGGGGCAGCATTGGGGTCAAGATTAGGGTCAGGATTCGGGTGAGCATTGGGGTCAGCATTGGGGTCAGGATTGGGGTCACGATCAGGATCAGCACTGGGGTCAGGATTAGGGTCAGGATTCATGTGAGCATTGGGGTCATCATTGTGGGCAGCACTGGGGTCAGGATTTTATCCCACTCTTCACTTTTTATCCAAAACACCAACACAGGAGCTCATTATGAACACACCTGCATGGCTGACCCATTACCTGAGAACCCCAGATCGGGGTTTTTCCTCTTCTTCTTCCTCTCCCACCTCTCGGCGTCCTCGGCGCTGATCTCCAGCAGCTTCACCCGCTCGTAATCCTCCCCTCGGGCTGCACATTCCTGCCCCACACACAGAGCACCCACTGTGACCCCAGAACCCACCCTGGGGACCCCATAACCCACCCTGGGGACCCCAGAACCCACCCTGGGGACCCCAGAACCCACCCTGGGGACCCCAGAACCCACCCTGGGGACCCCAGAACCCACCCTGGGGACCCCATCCCAGTCACCCCCAGTGCAGGGCAGAGTTTGGGACAACCAGGAGCTCCTCAGGATTTGGATTTGGGGAGGAACATTGGTGTGAGCCCCCGAGGGCTGGGAGGGAGCTTTACCCCTTTACCCCTTTACCTTTTTCTTCTCCTGCACCTGCAGCTCCCACTCCAGCCGAGCTTTTTTGGCCTCCCAGTTTGGGGGCAGTTTCAGCCTCTTGTCCTCCTCCACCACCTCCTGGCTGTTCAGCTTGCAGGCCTCGTACTGGAACAGAAACAGCAGCACTGGAGAGAACCAACCCACACACCCCCAGCGGGGCACAAAACCACGGAAAACACAATCTGAGAATATTTATGGTGTGAAAAACATCAGGAGATCACCCAGAGCAGGTGACACAGGGACAGTCCAGGGGGGTTTGGGGTCTCTCCAGAGAGGGAGACTCCCCTGGGCAGCAGTTCCAGGGCTCTGCCTCCCTCACGCTGTGTTTTAGTTCATGTCCTTTGTGTTTTAGTTTGTGTTTTGTGTTTTAGTTTGTGTCTTTTGTGTTTTAGTTCGTGTCCTTTGTGTTTTTAGTTCGTGTCCTTTGTGTTTTAGTTCGTGTTCTTTGTGTTTTAGTTCGTGTCCTTTGTGTTTTAGTTTGTGTTTAGTTCGTGTCCTTTGTGTTTTAGTTCGTGTCCTTTGTGTTTAGTTCATGTCCTTTGTGTTTAGTTCGTGTCCTTTGCTCCTGGCACCATCCTCGTGGATATTTGTGTGGATTGATGGATCCGTTCTCAATCTTCTCCAGACTGACCAGGTCCACAAGCACCAAACCGCGTCCCCCAGGGTCACACAAACCCGCTCCCGTCCCCGTGCCCGTACCCGTTTCATGTGGAGCTCCCGGAACCGCCGCAGCCGCTCCTCCCGCCGCTGCTCCGCCGCCGCCGCCGCTGCCGGCCCGGGCCCCGCCTCCTCCTCCTCCTCCTCCGAGCTCTGAAAGGACCCGCACTCAGCCAGGAGCTCCGGGAGGGAGCCAAAACCCCCTGCCCGCCCCGTTTCATCCCCGCTTTACCCCGACATCGTCCTCGGGCACCCCCAAACTGCTGAGGGCCGACACCGCCGCCGCCATCGCGCTCCGCCGGCACTTCCGGCTTCCGGCACTTCCGGCGCGCCCTTCGCTTCCGGCTTCCGTCGCGTCCTGCAGGGCGCCCCCCAGCGGGCAGGAGGTGCTGCCGCCGCCCCGCGCCGGGGAATGGAAATTGTGGAAAAATCCCCCAAAATCACGGGATCCCCCAAAATCACGGAATCCCCAAAATCACGGAATACCCCAAATCACGGAATCCCCCAAAAACACGGGATACCCAAAATCCCGAAATCCCCCAAATCACGGGATCCCCAAAATCACGGGATCCCCCAAAATCACGGGATCCCCCAAAATCACAGAATCCCCAAAATCACGGAATCCCCAAAATCACGGGATCCCCAAAATCACAGAATCCCCAAAATCACGGAATCCCCAAAATCACGGGATACCCAAAATCACGGAATACCCAAAATCACGGAATACCCAAAATCACAGAATCCCCAAAATCACGGAATCCCCCAAAATCACGGGATACCCAAAATCACGGGATCCCCAAAATCACGGGATACCCAAAATCACGGGATCCCCAAAATCACGGGATCCCCCAAAATAACGGGATCCCCCAAAATCACGGGATACCCAAAATCACGGAATCCCCCAAAATCACAGAATCCCCAAAATCACGGGATCGCCAAAATCACGGAATCCCCAAAATCACAGAATCCCAAAATCACGGGATGCCCAAATCACGGAATCCCCAAAATCACAGAATCCCCAAAATCACAGGATCCCCAAAATCACGGAATCCCCAAAATCCCGAAATCCCCAAAATCACAAAATCCCCCAAATCACAGAATCCCCAAAATCACAGAACCACCGGGGCTGAGAAAACCCTCAGTGCCCGGTGCTCCCCTTGCCCCCACCCTGATCCAGGAATTCCCTCCTGGAATTTTGGGGAATCTCCCGGGATGGGCGCCCCAAAATTCCGTGGGCAATTCCAAGGTTTGGCCTCCCTTTTCTTGGAGAAATTCCTCCCGATGTCCAGCCTGGACACAGCAGGACGGCTGTCCCTTGTCCTGTCCCTGTCCCCTGTCCCTGTTCTGTCCCCTGTTATGGCTTTAAAAAAAAATAAAAGTTCTGCTGCAACAACTTTTTAACCAAAAAAGTCAAAATTTGCCTTCTATGGCCAGGATTTCCCAGCCTTAAATCGGATTTATTGCAAAGATTTATCAGGATATCGATATTCAAAAGGTTTACCGGGATATCGATATGCATATAAAATCCTGAGCAGCAGGGCTTCAGGATTTCTGTTTTTCTCTGGAAAAAAAATCTCAAACAATCTCAATCTCTGAAAGAAAAAAGGCAAAGTTATGGCTTTCACAAAAAAAAAAAAAAAAAAAAAAAAGTTCTGCTGCAACTTCTGAGCAAAAAAAAAAAATCAAAATTTCCCTTCCACGGCCGAATCTCCCAGCCTTAAATCAGATTTATTGTAAACATTTATCAGGATATCGATATTATCGGGATATTGATATGCACATAAAATCCATTTGAGTGTAAAATCTGCACGGGAGAGGCAGAGAGGCTCAGATTTTCTGTTTTTCTCCGAAAAAAAAACTCCTTAAGTGCAGTGAGTGAGGAGCTGCGATGCTGAGAAGGTTTTTTTAGCGGTTCCCCAGCAGAGGGAATCGCAGCCCCATCCATGGGACCGACCCGAAAAACCCCGCTGCTTCTGATCCCTTTTAAATTCCCTTTAAAATTTCCTTTTAAATTCCCTTTTAAATTCCCTTTAAAATCCCTTTAAAATCCCTTTAAAATCCCTTTTAAAATCCCCTTTTAAATTCCCTTTAAATTCCCTTTAAATTCCGTTTAAATTCCTTTTAAATTCCCTTTTAAATTCCATTTTAACTTCCCTTTCTTCCCCGGTGCCTCTTGAGGGATTTAAAATATGAAATTCAGCGTTCCCCGGTGAGGGAATGGGATCCCGGCAAAGGCAGAGCTGGAAAATGGGGAATGGGGCGAGGAAAAACATCTTTATATGGCCCTGCTGGCCCGACCCTAAGGGAAGGGAGAGGATTGTCCCACCGGGGG